TTGTTGATAATCGGTAACCATAAAAAGCGAGTCGCAAGGCTCGAACAATCGTATCTCCTTTTCCAAAATTGTCCACTTTTGTGGACAATCTGAGCGTCAATTAGAGAGCATTACTGTATTTGCGCGGATTTTATATCCGATTTAATTTGCAAGCGAGATGGAAAATAAAATCCGAAAATTTTCCGATCAATTGTTCATTTAGTCCGAAAGATTTGCAGTTCGATGCTTAAATCAGGCAAGCTACCAACGAGCATCCGTTTCATCGGTATTCTTTATTCTCTTCGCAAGAATTTTCGCAGTCGGGCGATAGTTTTTTTTTTCTTTCTCGTGGCAACAAACAGATTTTACGAGTTGTTAAGTTACATCGTTTCGCGATCGAGGCTGGCATCGCGCTCTCTTGACGGACTACGGACTACGGACTGCGGATCTTTATGCCTTTTGTAGCTTGTAAAAGCACCCCGAAAAAGCAACGAGACTCAAGGTTTAGGAGAATCTCGCGAAGTTGCATCTTACTCTTAACCTGCTCGAGCTACTAACCGTGCCGGGAAAAGTTCCGTTTTATTTCTGCCCCTCTACATTTGCGTGCTAAAGCAGGCACACTCGAGTACGTATCTCCTTTCTATTTTCCTTTTAGTACGGCCTTAGAACGGATTGCACAATATCAACCGTTTGTCTACCGGTTTTAATAGCCTTTTAAGAACCAAGGGGACTTACGACAGATTTTTCTCGGTTCAGCCAGCAAATTTAAATACACGATTACGCGAATAATTCGTAATAATTATGCAAATCTCGCGAGTTAATTATGCAAAATAAACATTATCCTCATCCATTAACAGAAGCAGAAGTCGGGATAAAAAACTATTTCCTCTTTTAACGACGTTAATACGGTAAAAATAAGGCGATATTATTTTTAAATTATTCTCGTGGCTTCTTCAACAGTCTGCGTTTTGTTTATTATATAAATTGCTATAAATGCACAGAAGGTCTAGTTAACGATTATAGTCAGTTTTATAGCCAAGCGTTTTAGGATCGTTATCTCTAAATAATGTAGAATTATCTAAACGCACTTGGACGTCTTTATGCGGCAATAAAACAGGTCCACGTTTCATCGCTCGGACAGCGGGCCTTTTTTCAACACTATGGTTGACCATACTTAACCGTTTGAGTCCCAGGGATTANGATTCGACCGCCGCGCCGGGCCCTGATCAAACTCGGATCGCAAAATTGATTTCGGACAACTCCCCCGCGCATTTGGAAACTTCGCAGATAGATTTTACAAGCGCGATTCGTGCACGCTGTAATTACAAAATTATGCAACTTCCCCGAACGACGAGCGAGAAGCAAAGTTTTGTCGATCGGTTGGCCGATGTACAGTAATGTCTCCCTTACTGACGCTCAGATTGTCCACTAAAATGGACAATTTGGGAAGAGGAGATACGATTATAGTTGTTGATAATTTTTTAGTTTTTATAGTTGTTGATAATCGGTAACCATAAAAAGCGAGTCGCAAGGCTCGAACAATCGTATCTCCTTTTCCAAAATTGTCCACTTTTGTGGACAATCTGAGCGTCAATTAGAGAGCATTACTGTATTTGCGCGGATTTTATATCCGATTTAATTTGCAAGCGAGATGGAAAATAAAATCCGAAAATTTTCCGATCAATTGTTCATTTAGTCCGAAAGATTTGCAGTTCGATGCTTAAATCAGGCAAGCTACCAACGAGCATCCGTTTCATCGGTATTCTTTATTCTCTTCGCAAGAATTTTCGCAGTCGGGCGATAGTTTTTTTTTTCTTTCTCGTGGCAACAAACAGATTTTACGAGTTGTTAAGTTACATCGTTTCGCGATCGAGGCTGGCATCGCGCTCTCTTGACGGACTACGGACTACGGACTGCGGATCTTTATGCCTTTTGTAGCTTGTAAAAGCACCCCGAAAAAGCAACGAGACTCAAGGTTTAGGAGAATCTCGCGAAGTTGCATCTTACTCTTAACCTGCTCGAGCTACTAACCGTGCCGGGAAAAGTTCCGTTTTATTTCTGCCCCTCTACATTTGCGTGCTAAAGCAGGCACACTCGAGTACGTATCTCCTTTCTATTTTCCTTTTAGTACGGCCTTAGAACGGATTGCACAATATCAACCGTTTGTCTACCGGTTTTAATAGCCTTTTAAGAACCAAGGGGACTTACGACAGATTTTTCTCGGTTCAGCCAGCAAATTTAAATACACGATTACGCGAATAATTCGTAATAATTATGCAAATCTCGCGAGTTAATTATGCAAAATAAACATTATCCTCATCCATTAACAGAAGCAGAAGTCGGGATAAAAAACTATTTCCTCTTTTAACGACGTTAATACGGTAAAAATAAGGCGATATTATTTTTAAATTATTCTCGTGGCTTCTTCAACAGTCTGCGTTTTGTTTATTATATAAATTGCTATAAATGCACAGAAGGTCTAGTTAACGATTATAGTCAGTTTTATAGCCAAGCGTTTTAGGATCGTTATCTCTAAATAATGTAGAATTATCTAAACGCACTTGGACGTCTTTATGCGGCAATAAAACAGGTCCACGTTTCATCGCTCGGACAGCGGGCCTTTTTTCAACACTATGGTTGACCATACTTAACCGTTTGAGTCCCAGGGATTATTCAGAAAACGCGGTCGAAAAGTGGCGAACAGCGTGACAGCGCTTGTCTTAATTGATTGCGAAGAGAACCAAGCGGCGCGACAGCGCTCGACAAGATTGACAAACAAAACAAAAAGAAAAAAGATGAAAAAAGCAGCTGTGCGATGTACATGCGTCAGTAAAGTTTGATCGCGACACAAGATCTGAACAGCGCGATCGCGCTGCTTGGGTCTCGAACGGTTAAGAACCGTGTTTACAATTTTATTTAGCAATGTTTTTTCAACGTATCTTCCGCGAGCTAGCTTTCGAAACACGCATGTTTCTCTTTGATGAAACATAAATAGATCTCGCCGAATCGTCCGAGACCGGGCACTTCAAATAACGAGTCCTCTGCCGCGGGTCAAAATAAACCCAGACCTCGCAGTCGGAGTGGTATTGCACTTGTTAATTACGAGACAAGCTTGCGGAATCTGAATTTGCCCGGTCTTCGCGACAACTTTTGCGCCGGACAGGACAGAGCAACTGGAATACCGAAACTTCAACGCTCCCCCGGAATCTCGTCGGCGACCACATGGACAAACCATGACCCAAATAAATGGATGCATGGCCCAACGTCTGCGTTCGGGTTACAGTGACCCTGGCTCGGTCACGCGAGGCAAGACGAATTGCAACTAAATCATGTGTAGGGTACGGAGAATTTTCCGACGTATTTTTTATACTCCTTCCTGCAGGCATACGCCAGGCTACCATTTCCCAAAGAAACTCTGGGTATATAATATATACTTANTTTTTTGTTAATTTGTTTGTTATTTTATAATATAAGTATAATATATATATATATATATATATATATATATATAATAATAGTATAACATATATATTAGTATAATATATACTTCTAGGCGACCACAGAAGCGGGCTAGTTTCGAGTCAATCGTCGACGAAGAAACTCTAACGAGATCAAGTTTTAGCCCTTAGCGCTACGGTGACATTTGTCATTTGTTCCGTAAATCCGAAGGCTCCGCTGCGGAGCGAAATATTTTTAGCATACGTTATCGTCGGCGTTAACAATTGTTATCTGTAGTTAAAACGTGCTAAGACTATACCATTACGGTTAAACCATTTTTTGACCTTTTCTATGGTTAGCAACATGGAGAAAAATAAATATTACGATGAGAATTTAGAGCCGAGCGATACCGAAGACGTATTTGATGTTGAAGAGTTAAAAGACATTGTGGAAGACAATGTTGGTTACGATTCTGACACTTCGAGTAGTAGTAGCGAAATTATACTACCAAAGAGACGAAGAATGAGAATTATCGAAAGCGAAAGCGAAGATTCGTTACAAGACTTGGATCAATGGCGCGATATTACGGAAGAATTACATATTCCAGATAGAATACCTTTTAGCGTAATGCCACAGGTCATTGGACCACAAGTTCCTACAAACATTGAACAGCCGATACGATATTTTAAATTATTTTTCACGGACGAATTGGTAAATGAAATTATAAAGGAAACCCACAATTGCGCAGAAAATGTTCTAAACTTGAAAGAAATATCTGGTAACTCTATTTGGCAAAGCGAATACTGTGACACTTGTCCAAGTAAACCCAGAACGCACATGGGAGATTGTTACCAAAGATATCGCACCATATCGCACCTATTTACAATAGGAAAATGTATATTTATAAAATAAATAAAATCAAATGCATCGGCAAGGACGTGTAATCTTTCCCGCTCAAAATAAGACTTCCTTTATCTCAGGCGCTCCGCTCCAAAAATGTGCCGGAGTTGCTGTTAGGCAGTACTCGAGAAACGCGCGGAGCGCTAAGGGTTAACAATCGTAACTCGATATTAACGAGAGCACATAATACGACAGTATTTCGAAATTCTTTAGATATTTGTCGTAAGTGTATAGAATCTGCAACGCATTGATTAATAAGATCGTAACTCGCCGCTAACGAGCGAACACAATACGGCACTATCTTCGAATACTTGAAATATTTCCACCGGTTGTCGATCTAGTCGATTTTTGTTGCAAATGCGTAAAGCCTGTGTAGCCTATAGATCAGCAAATCATAACTCGCCGCAATGTTATTAAAAAGCTGGATCCAGTGATACTTCGTTTAGCTCGAATTTATAATTAGAGAGGTACGAGCCTACTACGAGCGATTCAGCTGGTTGTCGATAGGAACATGCCTAAGAAGCGAATCGACAATGAAGAGATAAGGTAACGAGAACTAATTGAACGTCGCAAATGAGCGGAAAGGGCGATCCGTCTCCTCGTCGGGTTAGATTAGGGGCAGGGAAGAGTCCCCCCAGAACTTGCCGATCAACTTGCGGTATCTTAATTAAGGCTCAACTTACCGGAAATGTGATATGGCCTCCAACCGTAGGCGACGTTTAGCTCCTTCTTGCCTTGAAGTAGGCCAAAATGAACCCTGCCGTCGCTCTCCTGCGGATTCGGTGTCCTGTGGGGTCGCGCTTCGACCCAATGTTGCGTCACGAGGGCAGCGCAGACGAGGCCTCCGCCGAGCAACGACAGGAAAAAGGTGGCGAAGATGGTGCCCCTACGGAACATGGACGTCATCCTCGGGTCACGCGGTGTCGGCCCAGCCTTCGGATAGTTCGCGATCACTGGAGAGAGAGAAGAGAAAGATGATCGTACCGGATACCTCCGAGCTCCGCATTCCTTTCGGTCGGAGAGTATAATACGTATACGTGCTTCCTTCGCGGGGAATCGTTCGTCTCTATCGCGTTTTCTTAGTTATTCAGGAAACACGCACCGCCCTCGAGGAGAACCGCATTTCGTGTTAATTGCATTTCGCGTGCATCGTGGTCGAGAGCTCCGAGATCCTTGCGATCGTAAAGTCTACGGCATTTTAATACGTCAGCTATTAGCCACTTAGCTGTGTTCGACGAGAGTACCGCGTAAGAATTTGCTGTTCAAATTGCACTTTTAGCGAAAACGAAAATATAGTAATTTCTCCTGGAAATGCCGATTTCGGATTGCTGTGAATTTTCACGTGTTAGTCGTTCGCCTGCGTAATTTATTGCTACGTCGATGCTAAGGGTCGACGGAGTCGGTGAAGCGCGTGACGCGGCACGCGACGCGAATTCCCGGAAGACAACACGAAATGGTTTGTTTTGGTGTGAGTCACGTAAGAAAAACCGCGGAAGTCTCTGAATTGCCTTCGAATCTTGTCATATGGCGTTGGAATCGTGTCATATGGCCTCTGAATTGTCTTCGAATCCTGTAAAGTGGCCTCCGAATTGCCTTCGAATCGTGGCATATATTCTCCGAATTACCTTCGAATCGTAGCATGTATCCTCCGAATTGCCTTCGAATCGTGGTATAAGGCCTCCGAATTTTCTTTGAATCGTGGCATGTATACTCCGAATTGCCTTCGAATCGTGGCATGTATACTCCGAATTGCCTTCGAATCGTGGCATGTATACTCCGAATTGCCTTCGAATCGTGGCATGTATACTCCGAATTGCCTTCGAATCGTGGCATGTATACTCCGAATTGCCTTCGAATCGTGGCATGTATACTCCGAATTGCCTTCGAATCGTGGCATGTATACTCCGAATTGCCTTCGAATCGTGGCATGTATACTCCGAATTGCCTTCGAATCGTGGCATGTATACTCCGAATTGCCTTCGAATCGTGGCATGTATACTCCGAATTGCCTTCGAATCGTGGCATGTATACTCCGAATTGCCTTCGAATCGTGGCATGTATACTCCGAATTGCCTTCGAATCGTGGCATGTATACTCCGAATTGCCTTCGAATCGTGGCATGTATACTCCGAATTGCCTTCGAATCGTGGCATGTATACTCCGAATTGCCTTCGAATCGTGGCATGTATACTCCGAATTGCCTTCGAATCGTGGCATGTATACTCCGAATTGCCTTCGAATCGTGGCATGTATACTCCGAATTGCCTTCGAATCGTGGCTTATGCCTCCGAATTGCTTTCGAATCGTGGCATAAGGACTCCGAATTGCCTTCGAACCGTGGCATAAGGCCTTCGAATTGCCTTCGAATCGTGGCTTAAGGCCTCCAAATTGCCTTCGAATCGTGGCAAAAAAATTAGAAATAAAAAAGTTAAGTCATCGTTTTTATTCCGAGTGCCCCGAGATTCTATAAAAACGAGCCGCGAGGCCCGAAGAATCGCGACTTAGTATTCCCAGATCTGCCGGTTTCAATTCCGACCTCCGAACATTTCTGGGAGAAATTACTGTGTACTCGTAAATCAGATGTTCGCGATACTTTTGCGATACATTTTCGGTGCACACTTTTGCAAACCGGTCGCAACAGCTAATTGGTTAAAATTGATCTGTTGTTAAGCGCCATTAACACTAGATTTACGGAGCACAAAAAAAATTACAAAAATTACAATAAGTCATTTATTCTAATTTTTAACGATTGTTATCGTAACATTTGCCGTAAATAACATATAAATTGAACAAATAACTCACAAATGTATCTTTACGATATGAATAATCATAAATTACAAAATTAGTAACCCGCCATTTTGTCGGGTTCCGTAAATCTAGCGTTAAAAAATTACCACGCGCAGTTTCGCAAGAATGTTTACACTTCTGTTCGTATTCAATAAATTGCTAAAAGCTCAATTACGGTGTGAGTGAACGAGCGTTAATTTCATACGAACGAAATGAAAACATCGTAGGTTAAACGGCCTCGAGTGCAAAGGTTGAACAGGTCAATAATGATGCTGTAGCTGGTTGAAGTAGTAGCCTCGAAAGAAACAGCGTATGTTGGTCAAGGTGGCTTGTTCGTACAGCAATGAAACTGCTGTTGAATAATTTATTAAGAACTGAATTCGATCGTCGGGATTTGAAGTTTAATGAACTATTAGGTAACCTGCAGGTAGTTGGAGTGTTCAGGCATGCCGGCGCTGCGGTTAACCCGAAGTTTGTAACGCGCAAAGTCCTTTCGGATTTTCAAGATCTAAGATCGTAATTCTGGAAACGGTCGAAACGGAAAATACGGAATAAAATCGGAATCCTTCGAGACACCGAAGTCGCACTCTAAACTTCGAGCTCTTAGGCCTCCGCGAGGATTGGGGCTGCTAGCAGGTGCCCACGAAATTCCTGGACTCTGGGGACCGCGAAGTACGGGAGACCTCTGGGACTGCGCGGCATATAGAAGGAGTTCTAGAACTCCGGGATCCTTGAAATCTTAATGTTAATTGGAATCCTACAGGTTCTAAATCGCCGAGACCATCTCGACTTCGGTCCCCCGGGACACCACGTCACCCAAGTCCGCAGGGACTCCGAAATACCGGCTTTGAAACTCGGAATCCTGCAGAATTCTGCGGAGTCGATTAAAGAATAATAAACAAGCCCTTAAAACGCTTCGGCTTATTTATCGATATATTCCAAATTGTTTTCAAATATTAACACGCTACGAACAGTTTATGCATCTATCGCACGTTCCAACGGTAATTTCTGCAATCTCTAAACTAACCCTTTGCGCTCGACGCTATTTTATCTGTAAATGTCAAAATAATATTTCTGACTTACAGCATTTTCATTTTATATGGCAAAATGTATTTCATGCATACGAAGTTGAGTTTTGTAACTCGCACAACAGTTACACTTTCAACAATTTTTTAAATCTAAACTTTATAATTACTAAACTATATAATTATGGTCACGTTATTGTGGCCGTTATTATTCACTTAGAAAATCATTAATAATCGTATCAATCGTCCGGATATTTTGGCAAAATGAAATTTAACCATGCACCGTTTCGCTCCCTTAGATATACTTCGACTTTTCTTCCTGAATTTCACCGTACGCTCTATGATTACCATAACTGTTTCGATCGTCTACCAGCCAATGCAAATCGCTACGGACTATTTCTTGATTATTTTCAAGACTCGTGCCTATCCTTCGGGCACTCTAATCTCATTACGGTTATTGCTAGACCGCGGATTTGACGCATTTATGGCAACAATCGGTAGGCGTAATTTAACTCTTTGCAGTCGAAGCTATTTTAATTCGGAATCCAAAACACGCTTTCCGATCTACGGTATTTCCATTTTATATGATTCAATACGATTTAGTCGTATGAAATTGCGCCTACTGGCAAGCAGAATAATTGCGATTTCCACAGTTTTTAAAATATAAACTATATATATATGGCGACTCTGAG